GCCAGGTTTAAGGTGAAAGGCTGTCAGCGGAAACAAGGTCAGCTGCAATGATCAAATGAAAAGTAAAAGCCATTACCGCGTCGGGGTGAGCACTGCCTCGGCTCCGGTTAAAAAAAAAGTGATGAATTCTAAACAGATCTCACGCCAAAGTGCCACCGTCCTGATGAATCCTCATTTTTCACTCTTAATAGTAAACAACAACCCGGCAGTCGGTTTGTCTGCCAGCGACTGGCTTTTATTAAGATTCCTCCAAACAACCCATTAGCTGTGTCTTTATAAAAATCTGAGGTGTCACTAATCAGTCGCCGTCACGTTTAGAGGGCTGCTTTTTCGTCGTCCTTTGTTTGGATTTGGGCGTAACAAGCGCCGGCTCCATTAAAGAGTCATCAGTTAAAAGGACGGGACAGCTCGCCCCGGATTCATATTCTGCTCCAGACCGAGCTCCGCCTGCCTCTCCTCCTTCATCTCGTTCCACTTGGTATGGATGGCTTTGATTTAGCTTTAGGATAAGAATCTGAAAGGTCATGCAGCAGTTTGTCTCTCCATCCCCCAACCGTCATACAGTGTCTATCTCCTTGTGTGGATTCCTTTTTGCTGCTCCTCTGTACTTCTCTGCCACCCCCTCTTCCTTTCATTTTCTCTGTCTTGCGTCTTGTTTTCTGTCAGGTTCTACACGGACCTTGAATCCATTCCGACAGCGTGTTATTTCCTCTTCCAGAGATTCCACCTCCTCGCTGCTTTCATCTGTTCTCGTGCGTTTCTTTTCCTGACCAGACAGTCTGTTGTTGGTGTTTTTTGTTTTAGCTGTAATCACTCATTTCAGTTTGTCATTTCTTCACATTTAAGCACCCATCAGTCCTTGACAGAGGAAATAACTTCATAAAAAAACAAAAACACAGCAGAGGACATAATTGTCTCAGTTGCCTGTATGAAATATTCAGCAGCGACGCAGGCAAGCATCAAAGACTGTCACACATCTTGACTCGCTGGCTTTGGTGAAACACTCTCCGAACATGTGCGTGCACCAGAGCTGGCAGGTGAAGGAGGCTAACTGCAGGATCGCTGCACTTATTTGTTACCAAGCGCAGCACACATATTTTAGTTTGATACGCCCGTCTAAAGTGTTGACTGACAAAGCAGGAACCGCGGGAAGCTTTTGTTCACTCACTTAACGTTGCAGTTTGTTCGGAGCTGCACTACAGTTGCAGGTAAATGTCACCGCTCGGCTCTAATACGAGGTTGTAGAAGCAGCCTCCGAGCACTGCAGGGTTTTTTTTTTTTTTTTTTTTTTTTTTTTCCTTGCGGGGTCAGGGCCTGGCTGCATCAGCCTTTCTACTCTACTTATCCTCCCCAGGCACCAGCTGCCTCTCCAGCCTCCTCTCCTCTTCTGTCACCCCTCCAATGCTGCATGCAGGGACTGTCACACACCCGGGAAGGAATGAAAGGCTGAAATTATGCCTTCTTTCAAAAATCTAATGAAGGCTACCTGTGGGTGGTTACCGTGTCTACGTGCCAGGCTGATCCCTTAGTATTAATTTGTCGTGCACGTCAGCGTCGGTCGATAAGGAACAAGGAAATGCGGAACAGACATTACAAAATAAAGGCATGGCTCTACTTCTTGCCCTCCGTCCTCCACACTGGCTCATTGTTGCAGCTCGCTCTTAATTCAATCTTTGGTTCTACGGGGCCTCTAAGCTATGACTAATGACCGGCCTGACATTCAAAGGGTGTTGCAGTTGTGCATCTTGATCGTTCCATTGTGTTTTGGCCCCACAATGGCAGAATGAAAGCCCCGCTGACTGCTCCGTCTCGCCTTGATGTCAGCCCACCTTTTCTTCCCTGCAGCCTGGAAAATCCAACTTTTTCCGTCTGCAACTCAACACTTCACACTAACATTTCAGTTGTTTGGCGAAAGCTGTTCCCGTTTTGATGATATCTCGTTGTTGTGTCTTTCAAACGTGACCGAGCTGTTGGAAGCTGCAAGAACACAAGCCACGTGATGCATCCTATATTGCATCTACACTCTGGCAATGTCATAAAAATACATTAAAAAAGCGAAATGCCAAGATTTGTTTGAGATAATTCAGTTATAGTGTCGATCGTCCACCACTTTCAGCTCAAAAATGTCCCCTCTGATCAAGCTTAAGGGATCCGTGAGGAGTTTTCTTTCTGCTGTGTTAAATGAAAGCATGTTTTCGGTTTGTTTTTCTGAATATTAGATAGAGGAAATCTCATCTGATTTTAAGCCTCCCAAACATTGCTTTTGGTTTTAGCTGCAAAAACCTGTTACAATGCAAATCAGCATTAGAAAGGCTTCTTTATCATCTGATCATGAACAGCTGCATCGCACTTTATGCTTATTACCTAAATGATAATGGTACTGATACCACGAAATGTTAATTTATATTGTAGTTAATTTGGAAAAAACTATAAAAAATTAGCATAAACACCATTTAGACCAAGGAGAGAAGCAAATGAAAGCCTAAATGCGCTCTGTAATTTTAAGGGACTCTGTAATTGTCGTGGAAGCTATACGGTACCTCATTTAATAATTAAAATCGTCTGCACAGGAGATAAAATAAAAAAGGAATTCAATTGAAACCTAAATACAGTGTTTTAGCTAATGCGTTTTCCGTATGAACAGATGTACTTTGTTTGGAAAGACGGCTTGGCAGACTCCCTCCCTGTCGGGTCCAATTACCCGCCGTGCCGTTTACACCCAACATCGATAGTGACAGCATCAGAGATTCTGCTATAACCTCATAAATGATTTTCATTACGGGGCTTGTTCTCGCTCATCGCGCTACAAATGGTCCGGTTACGCCGTTGTTTTCCAACTGTAGCAACGCTCTCTTGTTGAGCCTGTGCAACACGGAAAACGCTGCCGGATGCTAACCTAAAGGATGTAAAGGATGTAATGGATGTAATGGATGGGGGTTCTGCAGTTAGATGTAAAGATTGTGGTTTAATGGATTTAAAATAATAGAAGTTGATGAAAAATACATTCACAATTAGACTTAGCTTCAACGTGAGATGGTGGTTGTCAAGTATAAGAGGAAATGCTAATAGTTAGTTGTATTGATTTGAAAGTCATGAATAAACAGTCGAGAGCTAATTTGGGTAAATGATTAAAACAAGTTAGTTTTCCTCTGCAGTAAGTGGACCTTTGTGCATGACCAGACTGCAGACAACCCCCCACGTAGAGCCTCGGTCAGGGCTATTTCCTGGGTAATTTAAAGTGGCCCTGAGAGAAACTGCTTTGCAAGGCTCGTTGATTGTTTAAACCCAGAGAGGACAACAAGAACCGTTTTCTGCCCTCTCAATGTCGTCTCCTCTGTTAGAGAGGAGACAAAACACCAAGAACATGAAATTTACAACATTGGCCAACAAACTAACCTAAATGATTCAGTTTCTTACACAGAGCTGGAGTTGTGTCCAGTGGCGACCATTTGTCATTGTTTCATGCAGCTGAGTCGATGTTGCGGGAGAAACTGTTAAATTTTAAGCCACAATAGAAACAGAAAGTTGGAAAGAGACGATTACGGGACCATTCCTGTAAACCTGGCGTCTAAACTTAGCTTCGTTGACAGTTTTTAAAGTCTTGCACCTCTATGGAAATATAGCCAAAGGTGGAGGTAGAGATAACTTAAGCTGTCATTTGTATAGTAAAACAAAGGTAATATGCCATAAATCGTAAAATAATTTCTTTCTTTCTTTATTTAACACATACTAGACAAAGCCTTGAATCCGCAGAGGCCACGTTTTTCCACAGGTGGTACAGATTCTGGAGGGGAAATGGTGGCTGCACATGTTGTTTATATTTTAGCTTTCTACATCCTCTACAAACTCTTCACATCAGCTCTAGAAAGATGTTTCACCATGCTGAATGTATCCTCCAACAACTTGCGCCTCTGTATACCGTTGTTGGGCCACGCTGCATTAATTTTATTGATCTGCTTGATGTAGTTCAGCTGAATGGTCGCACAAAGTCAAACATGGCGCTATGGTTGTGCTAAAAACACATTTTTTTGTTTTTGTTTCGTGGATCTGTTGCAAAGTTTCCGCATTTGACAGTTTCTAAATGACTTTTAAATGTAGCATAAAGGGGATTTTGCTGAAATATCACAACTGTAAGCTCAGATTGAGTTAATTTCCCAAAAGAACTGCATCCAGCACATGATGAGTTTGAGGACCGTTGAAAAGGAAAGCTGAGAATCCAATGGTGCTTTATGGTTTTCATAAATGGTGCATATTTGAAATGTTTTTGAAAAATTTCAAAGCCACTGATGGGTTTGGGAGTTCAAAGGGTTGAAATAATGGATAAATAGTTGAAACAGCTTCTGCCACAACCACAAACTTGACCGAAACATGAAATAAAATAGAAAAATATATCTTTATTTTAATATTGTCCTTGTTAAAGTCATTTATAGTGGTAAATTACATCATTTTAAACTTCTTTTAAACACATTTCTAACACAATAATTAGATGATGGGGTACTCGACTACATCCGACCCACACGTCAGAGAGCCTGTAAACTATTGATCTCAAAGATAATGAACCAATCACACAGATAAACGATTTGCCATGAAGGCCTGACCCCTTGATTCCATCCTGGAGGGCTTCAGGCTGCACTGTAAGCAAAGATGTATAATTAACAACATGGTCCATATTAAACGCACTGTAATCTGGATCAAAGCGTCTGCCTGCCAACTGGAGCAGATTGGCAGGAAGGGGAAGCAGGGACCCAGCTTGTTCTTTTTGCTTTACAGCCAACCGCACATTTGCTGTATTTCATGATGTTTCCGCGCGTCTCTTTAGAGGCGGCCCAGACGCTAAAATCAATTGGCCGGAGTGGCGGAGCTTTGGACGAGTTTTAACGGCGTCGTGGGGACGATAGAAATCGAGTCCAGCGGTGTCTTGTAGTTGTTTTTGTTTCTGCCTTTATTGGACCATAAAGCCGTCGTGGTAATCTCCCTATCGCTTTTATCTCTACCCACAGGCAAACAGACGTGCCCTCCAGAGAAATTCGACTGTGGGGGATCCACCAACAAGTGTGTCTCGTTGTCATGGAGATGCGACGGGGAGAAAGATTGCGAGAACGGGGCGGACGAGGAGGACTGCGCATCTGGTGGGTTTGTCGGCTGTCGGTTCTCACACAATAATGAAATAAATACAAATACTGTTTTTCTTTGTTTTTTGATTGTATTTCAAGGGGACACTTTAATTCAAATTGTGCCACTGACAGACGCTCACAATCAGCAGACCTCAGATCACTCCTTTTTTTTTTTTTTAAAGATTTTATCCTTTCTGATCTCACTTATCATCCAGAGGCTTAAGACATTAAAGCGCAGTAGGGAACACTCTATATAATTACATGGATCTGAAGTGACTTTTGATTTTTAAGCCAGCTGCACCCGACAACAACAAAGTCCCCTTTGATGTGAAATGATTTTCGGTGTGAAAACGTCAGATATTTGGAGCTTTGTGAGCTTTTTTATTTTTTCTCGCTGGAAGTTTCTGTCGTCGCTAGATTTGCAGCCTCGAGTGTTTCCACCGCAAACCCCCTCAGAACCATCAGAAGTGACATCACCTCGCACTCAGCCAATCAGACGAGCCCGAATGTGCGGCTGCCCCCACCCCTGCAGGGACTATCCTTGCCCTACTTCTGAGGAGCCATGAAGAATCGGCTTCTCCTTCTTCTTCTTCTCCTCTCCCTCTCCCTCCCTTGCCTCTTCACGTCAAGAAAAATTGATTGAGGCAACAGAGCTGTAGGGGGTGTGGAGTTCAGACTTTGAAGATTGTGCAAAAAATGGCACGTGGCAGCAAATACGCAGAGGGAGAGAAGAGGAGGGGGAAAAAAAGAGAAAGCCATCCTCTTATTATCCTATATTAATGATGTTGTTAGGTTTTTTTTTTCCTAGCTTCTGCTCCTCCTCGGTTGTTTGTGTGGGTGCTGAGGTTGTGTCTGGCTGCCATCGAAACCGCTAAGAATACAAGTTTTCATCAAGCGATGAGGCTAAATCAATTTGGTGCAAAATTAAGACATAAATCAGAGAAGTTGTGTTCTTACATGTATGAACTGCCTCCTCTTTTAATTTGCCCAGCAGTGATCAGCAACCAAGTGGCTGTAAATGACTCGCAGCCTTCAAGTGGCCCCACGCACTCACGCCACAGCAAGCAGTAGTGATTCCATCGACTTTAGATCTAATGCCTTCTTAGCTTCGATGGCTTTTCACTGCACCGTCCATTGAGACCCGGTCTAGCCTGGACTAATCCTTCTTTCATTCTAATGTCTGTATTGATGCGGCGGTCTTAAGCCTCTCAGCGGCGACACGAGGGCAGGCAGCAGGCCGTCGCCCACCCAGGCGTCGGCCGAAATCCCTCCGGAGGTGGACGCCGCTTAGCGTGACCGGCCGAGAGCGGTGGACTCCAACACCAGCGGAGCTAGATAGCATCGCAAATTAGCCCCATTAAGCGCTGCTCAGGCCGGTTTATCTGGAGATTGATTGGGCCCGGCGCCAACCCCGAAAGATGATGTCTAAATCAAGGGCAAGAGGCTTTTAAATGTTACCTCACCGCGGATCAGATCTGAGGATACCAGGCATCGATCCCTCAGTGTTAAGTCTGCGGTTCGGCTCCACTTTGGGGCAATTTTGCAATACATGATTAATAGCAGCACTAATTCAGAAAGTAGTCTGATGTTCATACGGCTCAGGGGAGAAAAAAAAAGCAGAGGTTTTAATCACTTCAAATGTTCTGATTCGATAGATGTTAAGCCTTCTCTTCAGTTCTGTTCTGCCTCCATTCAGCTTTCCTACACCTGAGCACCAAGGTTAGGCCTCTTCTCTGGGTTTCCTCCGCGAATTCCAGCATCACTGGTTTTATTTTTATCAGCACCATTGTGCGCGGTGCAGCAACAAACCACCACCCACTCGCGCTGCTACTACACAAAGTTTATTCAATCAAGATACACAAGCATCAGTAGCGTCCAATTAAAGACGACAAATTAGGTTTTTATTTATGAGCTCCCCGTAGGGCTGTTTTACGTCATATTTTATCGTTTGGGTTTTATAGCTCGTCATTTAGGTTTAACTTTACCCACCTTCCAGCTACTGGTTTTAAAACTATGCAAGCTCGAGTACTGCTGCATGTAGTTTTTATCGAGTAAATGAGGGGACGATGACAAATGAGACATACGAGGGCGAGACAGAAAGATGGAGGATTAAAAAAAGTGCAAATGATTCAAGATTTTTAAAGAAAAGAGAACCAGATCAGAACCAGACAAGGCGTCGGCTGATAGAGAGCTACAAAGAAACGAGGGCGTTCAACTGCAGCGGGCTAATTGATTGAGTTTTGCACATCGGAACCCAAGAAAGGAATCTGTTATAACATCAGTCAGGGGCTAAAGCTGTGCAGTTACATGTAGGGAGGGTTGGAAATACAGCAGGAGAATGTATTACCCAAGCTGCTCACTTATAAGTGACGTTAAAGCTAATTTATTAGATTTTTAATGAAGAAACTTCTTTCAATTTGGCCCTGAGGTAAAGTAATGTTTATGACTAGAGCTTTAATTTTACTGTAGTGTTAATTAGGCTTTCAGATGCCCAGACTTTGCCC